CCCGAAGTCTGGGAGCGATCGCGCGGGGTCCTCCGAGCACGCGACTGGCGCCCGACAGGTGAACGAGCACGCGAAAGTCGCCCGACAGGCAGACGAAGGGGCGAAAGATCATCTGACGAGTGAATCCGGAATTCTAGAATCACCGTTCGGACTCTAGAACACTTACTTGTTCTGAAGCTGGTTATATGTGGCGCCTGCGTTGGATACTCTATGGGAATTCCAGAACTGGTCTTTTTGAGTTCTAGAACGATGTTCTTGACTGCCTACTGGACCACCCCAGCCCAACCCGAAGACCTGAATATTTCGGGTTTGGGGGGGGGGGTACGGGTTCCATCTGTGTTTTTCTGGATGTTCCCCGACCCCCCCCACACTGGAAATGGAGGGCAAATTGAAGCCTTCGGGTTGGGTTGGGGCGGTTTGGTGGGTGGTGAGTTTTGCTCCTGGAAGACGCGTGGCGGCTCTAGAAATTTGATGCGCCTGTCGGACGTTCGCTTCGCCGCTCTAAAACAAAAATCGCTCGGCAGGTCCTGGGGAACGCGCGCGCACGAGATGCTTGCGGTCGGGCGTCCGAGGCCTCTCTGTGTGCGTGCGTCGGGGAGCAGGCTCTGGCTTTGGGAGCCCCGGAGTGCCACTCGTGCCGTCGGGCGCTGCGTGTCCGCTCGGCTCGGGCCTGCGCCGGCGCAGAACGTCTCGCAAAAGGGACGCGGCCTGACCTGAGGAACGACAAACGAAAGAAGGGAGACATCGTGGTGGAAGAACAAACACCTCGGCAGAAGCAGCGGGATGATGGAGCATGGGCAAGATAAGGTTCCGTAGGCGGAGACGCGAGGAACGAGGCCCCTGTCTTGCAGGGAACACCAGGGAGGCTCGCCGCCAAAAAGGGTAGCGGAACGCGTGCAAGCCGAAGGAGCGGCCGAGCCACTTTTGGAAAGCAACTGCTCCCGACTCAAGCCAGGCCCCGTACCTCGCCGCCGCCACTTCCCCGGAACGGCCTCGGGGCGGAAACCGCTGGCTGACGGCAGTTTGGGCCGAAGTCCATGTTGGAAAAATGCCCTCCACCCAGGAGGGAACGAAACGCACGAACAGGTTTCGGATCCCACTGTCTGGTATGATCAAAGCATACCTCGCTGTCCGAGACTACTTGCCCCAGGGATCTGGCTGAGATGACCTGGATCATCGATCGCCGCGTGCCGAAGGCGTGCTATCGACATCTGGCGATGGAGGGGGGGAGGAGGACGAATCGAAGACTCGAGGGAGCTGGGGCAACACGGTCGACGCAGCTGCGCGGGCGCAGAAGCGCTGGGGTGGGCAAGCCCAGGAGCCCTTCCTGCAGCACCTGCTTTGAGCGCCCACGCGAGGGCACCTTTTGCAGGAGGGAGGAGGAGGAGGAGGAGGAGGAGGAGGAGGAGGAGGAGGAGGGAGGAGGAGGAGGAAGGGGAAGAGGGAGGACGTCCAGAGAACAACGAATTGCATAAAAATCATCTTCTCGGAGATCCGCGCAGACTTCCGGGATCGGCGCTGGAGCCAGGGGCGCCGCCAAAGGCGACGCAGATCCAGGAAACCCACACGGAGCCCCGAAAGATTATGCTCATGACGTCTTGCCTTCGTCGAGAGGAGGAGGAGGAGGAGGAGGAGGAGGAGGAGGAGGAGGAGGAGGAGGAAGAGGAGGAGCAGGAGGAGGAGGAAGAGGAGGAAAGGGGGACGAGGAGAAAGCGGAGGAGGAGGAGGAGGAGGAGAAAGAGGAGGAAGAGGAGGAGGAGGAGGAGGAGGAGGAGGAGGATTTGTTTTATACCATCGACCATGATGCAGCCCACGTAAGCCTCAGGGGTGGGCGAGTCCACCTGAGGGAAAAACTGATCCTCAACAAGACGCAATGGACAGTTGAAAAGAAGCGAAACAGCGAGGGGAACCACGTACTGTGCAAACGTGAACAACCCCTCACAAATGGCAAAACGTGTTTAAATCGACCGTGACTCCAAGCTTTTTAGGATGGAACCAATTTTTCAATGTATTCCACGGATTGCTGTGTGACGCTACTTTGTCTGGCTCAAACTTGTTGTCGAGGTTCCGCAACTGACCCCCCGACGTCATATAAGCGCACTTGTGGCAAATACATAAAAAAAGAGCCGTCCGAGCAATCGAACAGCACGCAGCCATGGCCAAGCGAACACATCCTGGCCAGAGACACCTTCAGCACCGCCGAGCACCTCCCACCAGGGGGCTCGACCGATGGCACACCACGCCTCCCACGGAGGCATGCAGCGCACTGCCAGTAGTTGCCTGCCCAGCTCCACTGGTGCACAGACTTGTCCTGATATGGCTTGGGAGCGGGAGGAGCAGGGATCCGTTCAGCGTTGGGGCCTAGGGCAAGCCGGGGCCAAAGAGAAAGAAGTTTAGCCCCAAGACGTCCCACAGCCCTAGCAATGGCGCACTCACGATCAAAATCCTCTTGAGCGGACTCCGGCGGCGCAGGATGCAAGAGTACCGCCTGCTTGGCCGTCTTTCGGCCCAATCATTGCCTTGTCACAAGAATCGTTCGTGATCGTCGGAAGCAGCCTGAATGTCCAGATGGGCCTTTTACCTTTTCAAGCTGCACCTTCGGCCAATGTTCTCGCAAATGTTGCGCCACGCCGCTATACATTATTTTACTTGATGCCTGTTCAACCCAAGGCAAACGGGGAAAATCCACACAGCCCTGGCAATCCGAAAAATCCGTGGAGGGACCTGTCGTCAACTGAACAGCGACAGACATAGCATGATATTCTGCTGCCTGCGGCGTTTGTGGACAAGGCGCCCACACTGGACCTTTCACCCCTACGATGACTTTCCCAGTCTCTCTCGATACCAGAACAATGCTCCAGCACGCACGGTTGAGCTCGCTCACCAAATATCGAGTGCACGAGCCATCGACGAACATGTCACCCCCGACAAAAGTGTTGACGTCCCCCTCCTCTTCCTCTTACTCCACCTTGATGCCGCCGGACTTGAGCGGTGACGGGACGGAGTCGGTGGGGTGCGGGAAGATGCCGTAGCAGGCCAGGTTGTCGTCGGCCTCGGCTGCCCATTCTTGGATGCGCTTTTTGACGAGGCTATCCCTTAGCTCGACCACGTCAGGGCATTGGCATTCCCAGAGGCGGTGTGTAAGCGTGTCTACGCACTGCCCACACAGCGGGCACATCTTCGACGGCAGCACGTAGCCTAAGCTGGCAGCGCGATCGCGAATATAAATAGCATTGCAAACAAAGGGCCCTCAAACAACCTTTCTGGTAAGGGGTGTACTTGGAACTTTTCAGGTAGCTGAGGACGGGATCGACACAGGCACGACCTTTCATATTGTGCCTGGCAGCCAGATCCCATTCGAGCCCCCTCAACACAGCCTTATGCAGCAAATTGCGGATCAGCTTCGGAGAGAATTCGGTGAGTTTCAGCTCCTCACCAAGATCGGTAACCAGCATCCCGAAAGCAGGCATGGTCCAAGAAATCCGCTCCAAGGACTTTCTGAGAGCCGTCACTGGGCCCGACACGCTTCGCCACAGCGGGGATTCACCCCCGAAACCCGCCTGCCACGCCGAACGCTGCTCAGGCAAGGAGAGAGTGTGGCTGTACAGCCGGTGCCTCCTTGGACCAGCGGATAATTGACGCTCGCATACCAAACCGGCTCGACGTGCGCCAAAAGGAGTGCTGTCAGCGAGCGCCCCTTGGCCGACGGCTGTAAGACAGCACCAGCCTGTCTACGATATTTTAACAGCTCATAATCGCTGACGCCGTGAACCCCGGCCCCAAACAGCTCCGACGCGAGAGCCCCAGGAGCGAACACAGTTCGGGCGACTCGCCCCCGGGCCCCGACCGTAGGCCTCGAGCGGGCCAGACGGGCAACAAACTTCTCAGTTGTCCGCTCCCGTTTTTTATGTTTGGCACTCCTTCCTTTGACTCTCCTGGGCCGGCCAGCGCAGTCGTCCACGCCGAGGTTCGGTGCCGAGGAGACGAGAGGGCCAGCCAGACCTCCAAGCTGAGCGGCCAACTCACGCCCCAGCGCCTTAGAAGAGCAAATCAGCGATCGTTTCCCCTCGTCCTGACTGACCTGGGCCCCGACCCCCTGAGGAGGAGGAGGAGGAGGAGGAGGAGGAGGAGGAGGAGGAGGAGGAGGAGGAGGAGGAGGACTGCTCGAGGAGCCCAGCCGGCCTTGCTTGGCCCGCCGCAGCTGCGCCAGCTCCTCTGCCGCGGCGTCCTGGCGGGAGCCCAGCGCGGCGTGCGCCGCCGGCAGCTCCCGCAGCAGGGGCATCAGCGAAGCCAGCTGCGCCTGCCGTTGGGGGCACCCGCCGAGATTGTTTTTCGTAGTGCCCTCCCTCGGCGGCGGGCGAGCGGCGAGGTGGCGAAGTGAGGAGGAGAAGGCCTTCTCAGAAGGCGGCGGGACTTCTCAGAAGCCCTCGCGCCTTCTGGGAAGTTGTTTGTTTCTTCGGGGAAGGCCGTGAAAACTTGTCAGAAGGCTGGGGGACTTCTCAACCTTGTGAGGAGGCCTTTTCCTTCTCACTTCCCTCCCTCGCTCGCCGCCGACTCCCGCTACGTCCCTGACGGGGGAAGGAGGGAGGGAGGGAGGGGGGGGGTAAGAAGGCTGTTCTTCCATTATCATTAGGTTGCCCTCTTGCCCTGGAAGGTCGAGGCCAACTCTGGCAGCTACAGCTCGGCGAGGGCTTCCCAACGGCGGCGCTACTGCGCCGATCGGCCCTTTGTGGGCCACGTTCAGGCTCGGGGGCCGAGTCGACAGAATGGTACAAAGGATACGAGACATCACGGGTGGTGGGGTGTCGAACCTGCGTGCGCCACAACATGCGAACACCAAAACATGCCTGTCGGAACCACCGCATGTCTGTGAGCACTGAACCACGCAGATGGGAGAACCGGCACCCTTCCCGCGTACGCTCGGTAGCGCTACGGGGAGGGAGGGGGGCCACCCCCGTAATGGATGCTACATGTGCACCAAATGAACAAACAATGACTTCCGCCTCCTCTTCATCCTGTTCCTCATCCTCATCATCATTCTCCTTCGTCCTCCCTCCCTCCTCCCTCCTGCCTCATCCCTCCTCCTCCTCCTCCTCCTCCTCCTCCTCCTCTCCTCCTCCCTCCCCCTCCCTCCCTCCCCTCCCTCCCCCCTCCCTCTCTTCCATCCATCCTCATCCTCCTCCTCCTTCTCCACCTCCACTCCTTCTCTCCCTCCTCCTCCTCCGCCACCACATCCGCCTCCTCCTCCTCCACCTCCTCCTCCTCCTCCTCTTCCTCCTCCTCCCTCCTCCTCCTCCTCCCTCCGCCTCATTTCATCTCATCATCATCATCATCATCATCATCATCATCATCATCATCATCATCATCATCATCATCATCATCATCATCATCATCATCATCATCATCATCATCATCATCATCATCATATCATCATCATCATCACCACCACCCACCACCATCATCATCATCATCATCAGCATCATCATCATCGTCATCATCGTCATCATCATCAAATCATCATCATCATCATCATCATCATCATCATCATCATCATCATCATCATCATCATCCGCCTCCTCCTCCCCTCCTCCTCCCACTCCTTTTCCACCCCCTCCTCGCCTTCATCCTCCTCATCCTCCTCTTCCTCCGTAGCCATTTAGGTCAGGCTTCTCCGTTGGCCCCCCGTTCCTAGACTCTACCCTGCGACCCCAGGTTCACGGGGCAACGCGGCGGGCGTGACGGAGGGCAGAATGGGGCTTTGGGCTCAACGGGAATGGCGACGGGGGGCAACCCGTGAGCGCGGCGGCCTTCGAAGTCCAGGTGGCGCGACATCGCCGCGCTCGGCGCCACCACCGCCCGCCGTGCGGCGAGACAGCGGCGCCGAACCGCCTGCGAGGCTGCCATCCAATCCCTCGCGCAGGCTCGCGGCGAGCCTGGCTCCTGGAAGGACCGCGAGCTGGCGGCGAGGCCGGCGCTGGTGCTGCTTGCCCAAGGACGCGCCGTCCCTGGCTCCCGGCGCCGCCGCCGGAGCGCCGCGTGGCACGCTCAGCGAGTCCAGCCAGGCGGATTCGCCCACGCGTCCGCGGCGGACATAGCGCGGCCCTCTGCAGGCCCCAAGCTCAGCAGAGGCGGCGCTGAACCCACCTCGTGCGGAACCACGCCGACCGTTGGCGTGCAGCTGGGCGCGGGGGCCTGCGCGTGGACGCCTCGCCCCTCCCCGCTGGCGCACCCCAGGAGGCTGCCGCTGGCCACCCCCCCCCCGTTCCTGGCGAGGACCTTCCTCGTCCAGGTAGTGTTCCTCGCGCCGTCGACGACGCCGATGCTCGTCCAAATGCTGGTGTACTTCCTCGTGGTGCTGCTGGTGCTGGCCGTGGTCCCCACGACGGCTCGGACGCGCAGCTGATGGGCGAGCACGGCCCGTGCTCCCTCGCGCCCGACGTGCCCGGACGGGAAGGTGGCGGAGCAGTCGCACGACCTGGGAGGCCACGCGCTGCGCGGGGAGTACGGGCACGCTGAGCAGGCCAACCCGATCGCGCCGTTCGTGTGGGCGCTGCTTCGCTTCAGAGCATGCTGGCCATCGGCGCTGAAGACGAGGTCATCCTGACGGTCGCGATGGCGACCGTGCGAACGGCTTCCGGCGAAGACGACGGGCCCCACGCGGAGACGGACGATCGTTTCGCGGGTGCCAGCGCGTCGGAAGCGCCTCCTCGGGGCGCAGCCGTGCGCCATGAAGGTGGGAGACGCCTCCTTGCCCAAGCGCACGCCACTCCGCTTCGACGCCTCTCCCTTCGCCCCCAGCCTCGGCGCCGCCGCCACCGCGAACGACGCCCCCGACGGGGAGGCTGAGGAGAGCGGCCCTCGGGCGCTTGCGGGAGATCCTCATCTTCCTCGCAGCGTGCGGCAGGCGCCCGAGTGGTGCTGCAGGGGGCGAGATTAGAGTTCCTCCTCGGCGAGTCCCTCGTGCAGCAATTATGAGGGAGCAGCCGACGAGCAAGACCCATTACAGGACGGTGTCTGTTCTTGCTCGTCGGACAAAGTTCCATTTCAGGGTCGGCGGCCCTGTGCTTGCGTGAGGTGCCCTTGCCGATCCGCGCAACTGCGAGCGCCTCTATTCTCGACCTGGTCGCAGTGAGGCTCGCTCCTGCGGTTGTGGTCGCACCTGGGAGCGCTCTCCGATATGCTCCGACATGTTCCTTCTCCTTCTCCTCCTCCTCCTCCTCCTCCTTCTCCTCCTCCTCCTCCTGCCGCTCCTCCTCCTCCGCGTCCTCCTCCTCCACCTCCTCATCCACCTCCTCATACTACCTCCTCCTCCTCGTCTGTCCTCCTCCCTCCTCTTCCTCCTTCCATCCTCCCTCCTCTTTTTGTTCATCCTCCTGCTCCTGCTCTTGCTCGTGTTCGTGCTCTTCTGTTCCCCCTCCAACTCCTCCTCCTCTCTCCTCCTCCTCCTCCTCCTCCTCCTCCTCTCTTCCTCTTCCTCTCCTCCTCTCTCCTTCCTCCTCCTCCTCCTCCTCCTCCTCCGCCTCCTCCTCCTCCCTCCTCCTCCTCCTCCTCCTCCTCCTCCTCCTCCTCCTCCCCTCCTCCTCCTCCGCCCTCCTCCCTCCTCCTCCTCCTCCTCCTCCTCCTCCTCCTCCTCCTCCTCCCCTTCTTCTCCACTTACTCCACTCTCCTCATTTCTCCCCACTTCTTCCTCCCACTCTCCTCCTCCTCCTCCTCCTCCCTCCTCCTCCTCCTCAGCCTCCCTCCTCCTCCTCATCATCCTCCACCTCCTCCTCAGCCTCCTCCTCCTCCTCCTCAGCCTCCTCCTCCTCCTCCTCCGCCGCCTCCTCATCATCTTCCTCCTCCTACTCCACCTCCCTCCTCCTCCTCCTCCTCCTCCTCCTCCTCCTCCTCCTGGTCAGCTGCGCCTCTCGCCGGGGGCTCCAAACAGCCCAAGGGTCGCGTTCCAGTCACACACAATGCCCATGCTGAAACATCCGTGGATCACGTCGGTCCTGCCTCTTCGGGAGCCATGTCGCGCCTGCCATCGTAGAGGCAGGGCGCCTAAGAAGTGGAACTTCCCATCTGTCTATATTGGCTCATTGCCTCGGCGAACAGGTAATGTCGGTGACATAGCGAATCCCGTCAGCACGGCCCCCAAAGGGCCCCAAGAGGGTCCCAGGAGAAGGAGAAATCGAGCTGGCCGAGGCAGAGTTTTCATGAAGGCTTGCCCCCAAGACCTCCAGCATGCCCCCAAGAGGCTCCCAAGACGCCTTCAAGAGGCCAAGAGACCCCCAAGAGGCCTCCCAGGGGTACCCCCTACAGACCACCAGAGACCTCCCAAACGGACCTCAAAGGCTCCCGATAGGCCCTCAAAAGGCCCCAAAGAAGCCCACATACGGGTGCCAAAGTTCATCTCCTTGACGCGTGGCTGTTGTACGGGCATTGTCGCGGGGTTTGCCGCAGGCAGCTAAGAATCGAATCCTTCAGTCGCCGCTTTCGGCCGCTCGGGGCGGATGACATCGAGTCTGTGGAGCGTGTGCCGTTTACCCCTAGGCCTCTTGCTAACCCGAGGGGGGCAAGGGGGGGAGGGAACAATTGGCGACCCGAGTGCTTGACGGTGTGGGACGTCCGCCTGGAAGAACAATGTGGGGCCAAACTCGGGGATGCACAAGGGAGAAACAGGGTGGAGTCCATCGAGGCTCGAAGAGATTCGAGGGGTGTTCTTGGGGGGTTCGCGAAACTCCAATGCGGTCTACAGCTGTGAGCCCGAGAGGACTGGCAGGGAGGAGAGAGGGAGCCCAGCCGAGCGTTTGTCCTGCTCCTCCACCTCCTCCTCCTCCTCCTCCTGCTCCTCCAGCTCCTCCTCCGCATCCCCTTCCCAGCCCCTCTGCGCTATCCCTCAGGCCCTCGTCTGGCGGAGTCACTGGTCATCCTCTCTCCACCGTTGCGGGACGCGCCGGGACGGGCCACACTTGCCACAAATACCCTCCCCCGTGATGCATCCCAAGCGCCGTGGGCCAAACGAGATGGGGCTACAGATGGCACGCGAGGGATACACCACCAAGCGCAAGTGCACCAGCGATGATCAGGAAAGGAGGATCGCGCCTGTTGCCTCGCCACGATGCACTCCAACACGGCGATGCGGTTGATCGAGTTCCTGCCCAGGTCCTGGTGGGCGGCCCGCATTGACAACGGCACCCGGAGACGATGCCACTGGAGGCAGGGAGCTTCTCAGCATGAGAGATTGGAACGGCTGTACACATCCACGGCCCAGCCCGTGGGGAGCCCTCCGCCCTGAGAGGTAAAGATGGCTATGAGCAGAAATCGCTGCGCATGGACATCGTGCTGAATCCCCTGCTGGCCCAACTGCGCCTGGCTTACAGTCTTCCCACAAACACGCCAGCGAGCGAAGACAATTGGGACAATGGACGTCGGAGTTTGGGGGAGACGCTCATTCGCCTGCCAACAGGGCAAGACTTCTGGGGGTCAGAGTCAGCGAAGGGCAAACGAAGGAAAACATACTGTATGACACAATCACTGGCCCTGGCTCAGAGTTCTCACAGCAATTCCAAAGGAAACCCGAGGAGGAAAGATGCTCTGAGACAAGAACACCCAAGAAATGGAGGCCCACATGCTCCTGGACCCCAGAAGGCTGACCCCCACCAGCGGGCGAAGGAGACCGCACGCCAGAGAAATAGAAGGATGCCTGTTTTCAATGTGTAGCGATGCGCGGTCGTAACCTGCCCTGGCTCCGGCCGCCCCCCCCCCACCCCCCAGGTATCGGGTGCGTCCGAGAGGGGGGCGTTCAAGAGGGGGTGGCGCAAATCTTGGCCCGAGGCATGAGCGCGTCCAGGGGGGGGGGGCCCAGGGGACGCATTGAAAGCAGGAGCGGCGCCTTGAAACCAGGGGAGGCATCGTGGCCCGGGCCGGGATTTCCACCACACCTAGTCATCACCCCCCCCTTGCCCCCCCCCCACCCCAGGTGGCGTCATAAGTCGTTCATGCTGTGGCTTCGGCTATCCCAAGAAATTCCAAAAAGACGGCGCTGGCGCGAGACGCAACGCTACCTGCCCCCCTATCCCCACTGGGGCCGCCGTTGGAGCTCCCTATGAAGCCACGAAGCGCCAAAGTGCGGGCGGTGGCACAAGGTGAAGTGGCACACTCGGGCAGGTGAAACTCCCTGTGGGGCACAATTGTCGTGAAGGGTGTGCACACGATCCGTACGAGGAGATGGAGGAGGGAGGGGAGAAGCAGGTGGGAGACGGCGCTGCGGGTTCAAAACGAGGGCCCAAGTCCACGCAGGAGGGTCGGTAAACACCATCCGGCTGGCTGCGCACATCCAACACAGAGGCCATCGGTGGCGTACCGATGAGGTCCGAGAAAGCTAGGCGAATTCGAGAAGAGCTGGGAGGCGCTTTGAACCAGACAAACGCCCTCCGCTTTCGACAGCGCGACCTGCACCCTGGGGTACCTGATCGCGGGAACAAGTGTGTTATTTGCCGCGGCAAGCCTGCGACACCCTCAAGCACCCAGCTTAAGAACCACCCCGCGAATCACCCACAACCAGAAAGAGACGGGGTGAGGCAGGGGATGATGGAGGAAGGACGCAGCAGCGGAGGGGGGCAGAGAGGAAGGGGAGGGATGATGAGGCAAGGATGGCGAAACATAACCAACGCCTCTTTCGAGGATGTTTACACAGGGCGCATACAGCATTCCAGGCCAGCTCGCAAGGAAGGAGCTGGAGCCACCGATTCGAATACATGCACGGGGACGGTGCCTTTCTCTCTCTCTCTCTCTTTCTGACAACCGCTGTTGGATGGCAATTACCCGCGGAAGCGAGACGCTAGACGAGAAACATGCCTACTGCTCCTAAGCGCAAGACAAAACAGTGGGGAAATGGGAAAGAGTGCGGGCAGCTGTCAACGATGTCCTCGCCCATGCGCGCGAGGCCCGGCAGAAGTCGGTCAGCTGGCCCAGGGGACATGGTGTCGGACAAGGACACGCAATCCGCCAGCCTGTGGTGCACAGGCCGAGCGAAGCAGAGGGCTCCCCCCCAGCTGCTCTCCCGAGAACAACTGCCCCGCAACACCTGGACCCACGACCGGTTGATTTGCCTTCCTCGATATCTACGGGTGGGTGTTCAAACCGATCCTGGGCGCAGGAAGGACCTGGCCAGCATCGGTCCGCACCCCCCCACAAGTTCCTCGGACACGCCGACAGGAGCAGCGACAAAAACAGGAGCAGCGACAGAGACAGAAAGCAACGCGGCCCGAACCTGAGCGCGTGAGATTCCTGCCGGATCCCTCGAGGAGGAGGAGGAGGAAGAGGAGGAGGAGGAGGAGGAGGAGGAGGAGGAGGAGGAGGAGGAGAGGGAGGAGGAGGAGGAGGAGGAGGAGGAGGAGGAGGAGGAGGAGGTTTTTTTCCTCGCGCTATACTGTTTCCTGGCTTGAGACAGGGGCCAGAGACAGGCGAGCCAATGGCTATGGCTCGGGGGCGCATGCCCCGTAGACCTGAGCTAAGAGGGGCCAGTGCGCGATAATCATCTCGCTCTGGCCGCACCTGGGGTGCTCGCCCTGCAGGAAGCGGCGCATCTTGTGCTGGGCAGCTTCATTACGCTGCCAGCCGACCACACCGAAGCTGGGGCAGGCTTTACCCAGCCCCAGCGGCTTCGAGGTGGCATACTGGCAGCATTTCTTGCAGAACAAAAGGGTGTCACCGACCCCGGCCTCGGGCCGAGGGGTGAGCTCACACCATTCAATATCGTGGGTGTGGGCAAACTCTGTCACCCGCTTAAAACTCTCAGGGATGTCGCTTTGCCTACAGTCCTTACGGTCCAGGGCACTGTCTGGAGTCACCTTCGACCGCAAACATCGCATGCACTGCCACCTGGAGGGCCCGACCTGGACGAACTCGTGAGCGATCAGACAGGCTGGCGTGCGGCCACTGTGCGGCCGCCTGAGGTCCTTCCATTCATCCCGAGGGGCTGGTCCCGACTCGAGCACACGGGAGGCGGCATACATAAACTTCTTTACCCTGAGAAGCTGGTCTTCCAGGCTGGCCGTAGCCTGGCCCGACATGGGGTGTAGCTTACAGGCTAGCTTGGCGGCCTGGTCGGCCTGGTCATTAAGCCAGGCACGCCAATCTGTCTCCGAAACAGGGCAGGTTGGGACCTCGACGTGGGCTTTTTGTTTAATGAGCGCACTGTAGGCCCCGTCCTGGCGAGGGAGCCCCCTCCAGAGACCCCCGAAACGCCCCCGAGGAGTGGCCCCAAACTCGGCCCCGGAGCGAGCAACCGAGAGGACGGCATTGCAATCACCTATATAGGGGCACGATCCGTCGCTGAAAAATGCCCCTCGGTCGAATGCGAGGTGCTCGGCAGCAACAGCGGACTGGGCCATGCGCGGGGGCGCGGTCCCTAACAGGCGCCGGAGGCAGCCCGTGGCGGGGTCCCTTTGCACCGCACCGAACCCCCCCCTCCGAAGCGAAGCGAGAATCGAGGTCGACGCCGATCCATCCCCCGCCACGGGCTCCCCTGGGACAAACTTAAAGCTGCTCAAACCAACCTCCTCCTCGCCTACAAAGGCCCTGACGATCGTGGCAGGGGGCGGGAGGGCGACAGCAGCATCAGGCAGCGAGGGGAGGAGGTGAGACATGAGGAGAGGATCGTGGCACGCCTCGCACCCTTTCACAGCCTCGGTCCAATTCTCCCCCTGCCCCAAGCGGCCGGCCTCGAAGCAGACGCAGCCCAGGGCACGATGGGCGGGCGTATCTGTCACCCCGCAGCGCGGGCACGCCGGCGCAATCAGGTAGCCCCACTGGTGGGCCACCTGCCTCGTCATGTAGGTCCCGCCTGCCAAGGTGGTCACCACGTGCCGCGTGAGGGCCGTCACGTACTTGTTCTCGACGACCGCGCGCAGGCCTTCCCACCAGATGCCAGGGTGGTCATCCGCCAGGGCGTGCCGCGACCTGGCGGCCACGTCGGCTCGAGCAGTGGTGGTCGCCAGCACGTCCAGCTCGAAATACATGCCAATCTCCTTGGGCCCGATGCTGAGCACGCAGAGCTCACCTAGCGTGGGCGAGATGAAAGAAGTGGCATGCTTAGCCTCCCAGCCGGCCCACTTCAGCGACCGAAGCATCGCCCCAATAGGCCCCGCTTCGGGCAAGTCCTTGTCCAGGTCCTGCGAGGCCACGTCGAAGGCGCTCCGCAGGTCCTTGGCCGATAGCACTCGGCCGTTGGCCTGGCGCTGATCGGTGGTCCGCCACCACTCCTCCGCGTAGCGCACCACCCCCATGGAGACCGTGCCTGCCAACGGGTCCAGCTTCGGCTGCAGCGCGCCGAAAATGTCGCTGGAAATGTGGGGGTGGCCGTAGTGCCGCTTGGCCCGAGACCTGAGCTCCTGGACCTCGGAGTCCGCGAAGCCCGCGACCTCGCCGCCCCAGCGGGCCGAGGGGGGGATGGCGGTGTGCCAGATCCTCCTGCACCCCGCCACCTGGGCCACGGCCCGCAGCGCCTTGCGCAGGCGCGCCTTGCCCAGCCGCACTCGTGTCTTGCGGACAGGGCCCGCGCGGTGCACGACCCCGGCCGATTTGCCAGCGCGGGCGCCTCGCGGTCGCGCGCGCCTTCCTGCGCGGAAGTCCACCCCCAAGTGCCGCATGGCGGCCGCTCCGCTTCGCCGGGCGCGCCTCGGCCCCGCGCGCTCGGGCAGCCCGAGGCTGCGCAAGGCCTCCTGCGCCCGCTCCGTTAACGCCACGGTGCTGCCCAGGAGCGTGCCCTTGCTGCCGGCCAGCACCATGTCCAAGTCCTACTCCATCGCCGCCTTGAGGTCTCGGGCACTGTCCCCGAGAAGCTGCACGACTTCAGCTTCCGAGTCGGCCGTGACCTCCTGGCCGATGTCATCGATGTGGACCGACAGCAGCACCTCGGGATGCCGCTCCTGCTGGGCTTTTAGATCCATGATCAAATAGGCGGCCAGCGCGTACGTGGCGGCAAAGCAGCCTGCCACCACCCCGCTGTCGGGTAGGATGCCGCTCGCCACGATGCCATCCATGACGAAGAACGGGTCCACCGGTAGGCGTTGATCACCACCCGCAGGATGGGCGCAGGGAAGCCAACCCGCCTCGCCAGGTCGATCAGCTTGGCGTGGTTTACCTTCTCGAAGGCCTTGGCGAGGTCCCACGGGAGAACGAGGAAGGCGCGGTCAAGCCCCGCGGCGGCTTCGCCGCGAACCGCCGACCTCCAGACGCAGTCCGTGACCTTCCTGCCCTCGCCCGTATTGAGGATGCCCCAGTCGTCGAGCGCGCGCTGCCAGGCACGCAACTTACCTCTCTGGCACCTGCCCCATACACGGTACAGGGCCTTGAACTGGCCGATCGGCCGCCTGCCACCGCCCAGGGGCTTGGGGCACTGCGCCGACAGGAGCTCCTGCTCGCACTCGGGCATGATGCCCGTGGCAGTGACCAGGTTGAGCAGGTCCGCCGTTGCCGCGAGATCGTCGAACCAGCCCAGGTGGCGGGGGTGCGTCCCTGCAGGAGTGCAGGTTCCCTTCTTAAACTGGGACGCCGCCTTGGAGACGTCCTCGGCCGAAACCCTGAGGTGCTGATGCCCCAGGCCTTCGTCGGCCACCATCGCGTCCAGCGCCCCCTGCACGAAGGTAAGGCGCTCGGCAGCAGCCTCCTGACTGAGCCCGTTCCAGTGCCCGCGCCACTCCGCGCGGTACTTCTCGAGCAGCGCGACGGGGTCCGCGGCCCGATCGTGGGCCAAGCCACCCGGCTTGGTCAGCTCGGGGTCGCCGCTGCCTGGGTCCTTCGTCCACTTGTGCAGCATCGGCGCGCCCTTGGCGAGATCCTCCACGAGTGCCTCGCGCCAGGAGGCCCCGCCGCGCCTGACGCCCACGAGGTACTCCTTGCACAGGCGGGCCGCCGTGGCCGCCAGCACCCGAACCGCGGCATGGTACAGCCGGCCACACTCCGCCAGAGGGGTCTCGCCAACTGCCCCGGCAGCCCCGCGAGCTGGGGCTCCGGCGCGGCCGCCTGGGTCGTCGGGGGGCCCCTCGTCGCCGTCGCCCAGCGCGTCGAAAGGGCCCCCCTCCCCGTCCAGAGTACACGCCCCAGCGCGGGGGTGGGCGTAGTCGGCGACCCTCGCCTCTGCACCCCCATGCAGGGCCTGGCCCGGCAGCTCGAACGTCGGGCGAGGCACCTCGCGCGGTCCCCGCCTCCTCGCCCTCGGCGCCGTCGCTGAGGTCGGCATGCGCGAGCTCGAGCCTCCTGGGGGTGCCCAGGGCGGCTCCGGCGGCCGCGGCGGCAGCCCCGGGGGCCTGGGCAGCGGCTCCAGCGGCCCTCCCGGCGGCCACGGCCGGCGCCCCGCCCACAGGTGACCTAACTTGCCTTAGGTCACTACTGAAATCTGCCGCCGGCAGGGGGGGCGCGGCGGCGTCCTGGGCGGCCCCCGACACCGGCAGGGAAGTCTGGGAATTTTCTGGAAAATCTTGGACTTGCCGGGGGGTGTCTCGGGCCAGGCCCGGCAGCTCGAACGTCGGGCGAGGCACCTCGGCGGTCCCCGTCCCAACCCAGGCGTGGCACCCCGCCTGAACCGCACCAGCGATGTGCTCGAGGAGCGCCTCCCATTCGGCCCAGCACGGCTGCCGAGCGAAATGGTACTCGAACTGCCCGCCGCGTGCCAAGCCAGCGCGCAAGCGCCCCGCGTTGGCCAGCACGTCGGCGCGGGCGCGCTTGTCGCCACGCAGCACCTCGCCCAGGCGCCCTGCCAGCTGCCTCAGCTGGCCGGCCAGCCAGCGCATGCCTGCGCTGGCTCGCCTCCGCGGGTTCTTGGGCGTGGCCAGCGCCTTGTCGAGGGGCATGTCCTCAAAGGTCAGCGCGCCCCCCCAGTGCTGCATGCCCGGGGCCTCAACGTCCACGATGGCCCCGAAGTCCTGCCGAGCTGCGCGGAGCCAGGCCGCATGCGCCTGGTTGACGAGCTCCTGCCGTTGCGGCATGGGGAGGGCGTCGGACTCGGCACGCTGCAATGCCTGGCGCACCACCGCATTCGTGGGCCGCCAGTCGGGCGGCGCGCCGCGTGGGCCCACGGGCCTCTCCGCCGGCAGCGGAGGAGGTCGGGCTGCCGCTCGCGCGGTGGGCCAATCCCCCACGCCCTTGAGCGGGAGCTGGGCCACGTCGTGGGTGGGCACCAGGTGCTCTGGCCGAGCGGTCGGGCGCGCACAGGCCAGCCCAAGCCGCCTGCCAGCCACGAAGACGTCGCGGACAGTGTGCGCGTCCTGCCCTCCATGGCAGGTGGCCTCGGCAGGCGCAATGATCTGCGTGCCCGCCGCATTGAAACCCGCGAACCCAGCAACCATCTCAGGATCCAGATTCCAGTCGCCCCCGGCCAGCCAGGGCAGCTGATGCACCCTGGTGTGGTGGACCAGCGTGCGGAGGGCCATCTCGTTCCCGTCGAGCCCGACCCCCGTCTCCAAGTACACGGTGTACAAGGCCAGCGCCCCGACGTGGGGCAAACGCACAAAGGCCACGCTGATGCGGCCCTCGACCAAGCAGGACTCCAGCGGGTCCCACCAGAAGTCCAGGTGCTTGCGAGCCAGGATGGCGACCCCGCCGCTGGGCTTGGTCTCCTTGATCGCGGCCTCGTCACCTGCAAAAAGCCACCCTCTGGACAGGGCGCTCTTCTTGGCTTCCCGAAGTCGGTCACCGCGAAGTTTGTGTTCCTGCACGAACAATATGGAGTAGGGCGAACCCTGAATATCATCCAACACTTGAGTGCCCGTCCCCCACGACGTAACATTCACAGTGGCAAAATTGAAAGGTTTACCAGCCCGCCCCCCTGAACTCGACTGCGGACACCCGAGGTCTGGCGTGACTGGCAATACTGGATCGACTGTCCGGGGGCGAGCTGCGTCAGGCACATCTGCTCGCCCCTTGCGTCGATTACCCGCGCTTCGGGCGTTTGACCATGTTGAGCTCCCCCATGGCCGTGATAAGGGCCCGCTTGGCGTCGGGTCCCGTAGCAGCGGCCAGCAGGGCGTCAGTGGTCGCGGAGTCGAAGTTCTCTGGCATTTCCTCGTCGGCGGCGGGGTCGGCGACACCTCCGTTCCCTCCGACAGAGCCAGCAGCAACAACAGGAGCCACGGGCGGAGCAGCCTTGGCCAGCGCTTTGCCGAGCAGGTCCGAGAGGATCTTGGAAGCCCCAGCTCCCAAGGCCTTGCCGGCTGCGCTGCCCTCGAGCACCTCCGAGACGATCTGCTCCTGCCGGGCGGCGTCGAGGGCCGGCTCGCCGCTGCCTGCCTGGGCCACTTGCTTGACAGCCGAGGTGACCTCGGCGTTGGCAGCCGTGATGGCCTGCTCGATACTGGCGAGGTCGGTCGCCAGCTCGGCTTCCTCGGCGAGGCACTTGTCCAAGGCGGCCCTGGCCTCCTTCACTGCCTCTGCCTTCTCCACCGTCGACTTCTCGAGGCGCTCCTTCTTGCTCTGCAGGCGGAGGAGCTTCCCGTTGAGGGAGATGACCTGGCTCTGGGGCGACTTCGCCTCGAGCCGCTTCTTGCGCAGCGCCCCCAGCTGCGCCTCAACGGCTGTGACGAGCTCCCCTTCGACCTTGGCCTTCTTGTAGCCGACGAGCGTCGCCTCCAGGACCTCGATCTGCATGAGCAGAGGGTCGTCGTCTGGCGCGGCCTCCTCGGGCTTCGGCGCCGGGTGCGACTGACCAGGGCCCTTCTTGAGCTCGGCCACCTCCTTGCGCAGGGCCATGATGGCTGCGGTGAGGTCGGCACCCCCCACTCCGCCACCCTGCCCTTTGTGAGACCCGCCACCGCCCTTCTCGAGCTTCTCGTGGGCCTCGCGCGCCTTCTTGGCCACTCCAGCGGGCGCCTTGGCCCCGCAGGCGCAGACCACCCGGCAAGCCCAGTTGGCCGTGCGGTCGCACTTCCCGCACGCCCACGTCGGGAGCTTCGGCCCACGCAGCACTGCCTTGCTCGCGGGAGGAGGCCCCATGACTGGCTGGAGAGCGGGCTGGGGGCTCGATCAGTAGGGATCGTGAGTGCAAAATAGCCTCCTGGAGGCAGGCCGCCTGGCGACCTCGAGAAATGCCCACGGACGGGTTCAAAGCTAATCGCAACACCTCGGTTCACCGAACCTTCGTTAACACCTTCGGTTCACCGAATACGGCTTGAGCCAAAATGGCTTGAGCCAAAATGGCTTGAGCCAAAATGGCTACGGAGGAGGAGGAGGAGGAGGAGGAGGAGGAGGATGAGGAGGAGGAGGAGGAGGATAGGCCCCCGCCGAGACCTCGCCCTCGACCGCCCCGAGTGTGGCCATCGTCGGCAGGCGGGCCGCCCCGGTCTCGCCCAGGCAGGGCGCGCTGGGCAGGCCGAGGCGCGGGCTCCTCCACCTCCTCCTCCTCCTCCTCCTCCTCCTCCTCCTATTCTCCTATCCCTCCTCCTCCTCCTCCTCCTCCTCCTCCTCCTCCTCCTCTCCTCCTCCTCCTCCTCCTCCTCCTCCTCCCTCCTCCTCTCCTCCTCCTCCTCCTCCTCCTCCTCCTCCTCCTCCTCTCCTCCTCCTCCTCCTCCTCCTCCTCCTCCTCCTCCTCCTCCTCCTCCTCCTCCTCCTCCTCCTCCTCCTCCTCCTCCTCCTCCTCCTCCTCCTCCTCCTCCTCCTCCTCCTCCTCCTCCTCCTCCTCCTCCTCCTCCTCCTCCTCCTCCTCCTCCTCCTTCCTCCTCCTCCTCCTCCTCCTCCCTTCCTCCTCCTCCTCCTCCTCCTCCTCCTCCTCTCCTCCTCCTCCTCCTCCGCCTCCTCCTCCTCCTCCTCCTCCTCCTCCTCCTCCTCCTCCTCCTCCTCCTCCTCCTCCTCCTCCTCCTCTCCTCCTCCTCCTCCTCCTCCTCCTCCTCCTCCTCCTCCTCCTCCTCCTCCTCCTCCTCCTCCTCCTCCTCCTCCTCCTCCTCCTCCATGTCCTGCTGCAGACATCCCTGCGGCAGAAAAAAGAAACGATCGCTCGCAGGGATGGCTTCGCCGAGCAAGTTCTGGGGACCTCAACGGGTCCATCGGGGGCGGCCCAGAGGCACTCCGAGGGGTCCGGACGGGGCCACTGGTGCGAGATGCTGCCAGCGAGCTTACGGACAGCCTTCGCCAAGCGGATACAAAAACTTAGAGCCTGTAATCCCGTTTTCTGAGACCTTAGGGTGCAAGTTGGCTCCAGCCTTGGCCGCTCGGTCAGCATCCTGGTTGCCCAACCTACGCCACTTGTCGTCTGACGTGATGCCTTTCTCGTCGGGATCGAGGTGGGCCTTCATTTTGAACACTCCTGAAATCGCTGGGACTCCTAGACTGTACAGCGTCATGAGACCTGCGTATGGGCGCTTATAAAGAGTATTGCAACTCTCGCGGGGCTTGAGCTAGGTCCACAACATGTTTACAATCACTAACAACTGACGACCCGCTGGTCACCTCAATGCCAGCCCTGGCCAGCGCGGCGAACTCACCACACTGGGGCGTTTGCTGGAAAGGGGCAGAAACAATACATAAATCGATCATCAACTTTCCTTACCACAGGAATCAACCAGGCACAGACCATAACCCGCCCTGGAGAGTTCTGACACATGGCGCCTGAAACAGCACCCATCTATAAAGAGAGACCCGCAGAAAACGCCATCGTCAGGAGGAAACTCATGCTAGACCTTGACAGCCTGAAAGTCGGAGTCTTCGCGGCGGGCCTCGGAAACACATATCCAGGGTGAGAAAACAAACCACGGCAGAACAACATGTCAGTGAGAGAGTCGGTCGGATCCGCGGCGGTAGCCGCTTCCAGAATGTCCTGATCGATCAGATCGGCGCGGGTGGACTCGAAGCACGGACACTCCCAGAGCCTGTGGAACAGGGTGTCCCCCTTCTGCCCACACATCGCGCAGCGATCATCGGCCAACAGATAGCCAGCCTTCACAGCCCGACTGTGAGTGCAAAGAGCGTCGCACGCGAGGCTGCGGATGGTCCCCCTGGCCAAAGCCGAGGAGAAGGAGGAGGAGGAGGAGGCGGCGGCGGCGAACATCAAATGGTCTTCGACCGATGGGTGATGCGAGCGCATTATGGCCCAACCGATGTCAAACAGTGGCCATCCCTTGTGGCTCCCTTCATCCAGGACGCATGGCTGTAACAGGGCGGATAGACGAATGAGACGAAATAGGGCACAATGGACACAAGTGGCAGAACATGACAAGTGCAGGCACAACAGACAAGGCAAAAAGAAAGGAGCGCCAGCGAGAGAGCTAGACACGTGCACACTGACCTAACAGAGGCAGACATCACCTGAAGCAGCGACAAGACAAGAATTCGCGAACACTTGAAACCAATGCAATGAACGGCCCCCAAGGGATCCAAAATCGACGGGCTGGCATCCCCAAAACCTGCGGCCCGAGAGAAGGGAACAATTTCGTTAACTGTCCTTCCCTCGTTAACAGACGAATTGCATCTTAGGCAGACTTGTTCTGCAGATGTCGTCACACGGCAAAGCCAATGCGAAACAACCCTCTCTGCGGTCGGAGGAGGAGGAGGAGGAGGAGGATATCTCCGCTCACACTCAAAGACAATGCGAAACTACCCTCTCTGCGGGAGGAGGAGGAGGAGGAGGAGAAGGAGGAAGAGGGTGAGGAGAAGAAGGAGACAGAGGAGGTTGAGGAGGAAGAGCAGGGAGAGAGAGGAACTGGAGCAGGAGGAGGGCCTTGTGGAGGTCGGCGACATGGTCGTCGGCGTGCCGATCTCCGGGCCCCGCGCGGAGCCAGCCCGGGACGAGCACGCGGCAAGGGCGCCCGCCAGCGGCACGGCCGGGATCTGCCAGGGGGGGCGCCGGCGGGGGCTGCAGGTCTGCCCGCTGCCTTGCCCCTCGCCCTCGTGGGAATCCTGCAAGAAGCCTCCGGGATGCTGCAGAAACCCCTGAAGGATCCTCGGGAATCCCTGAGGGAATCCCTCGGAACTCCATGGCGGGATCCACAAAAAAGAATCCCGAAGGAGTTCTCCCGAATCCATCGGGAATCCCTCGGGACTCCCTCGCGGATCCTGAGGGGCGTGCAGGTCTGCCCTCTTTCTCGCTCCTCGCCCCCCTGGAGCTCAAGTTGTTGGAAACCACATAACGCGCGCCATGTGGCTGGGTGGGTGGGCGGGTAGGTTCGCTGGCACATGACATGACACGTTGCGCGCGCGCTACGAGCAGCATACCTGTGCGCTGAACAGCAGGCGCTGCTACAACGGGGGTGGGTGAAGCGGAGGGCGTTATGTTATCTATTTGGTGGGCGGGTGGGAGGCCACATAGCGCGCGCTATGTGTTCGAGTAAAACAAATTCAGCCCCACTATCGCCCTTAGAAACAAACCCTCCCTGTCGCACCGCCAAACGTTCCCACAGGACGGGCCGGGCGCTTCACCTGAGACTTCCTCGCCTTCTCTTGATCCTGGACATGAATATTTGTACCACCTTCACGGATGGAGCACGGGTCCTTATCGAAATGTGCCGTCTTGCCTTAGCGCCGCGCATCTTGCACCCCAATGTTCGCAACAACTTCACAGATGGAGGGCGGCTCCGCTTGAAAAATGTGGCTCTCGCCTTGGCACCGCGCACAGTCGTTGCAAAAGCGTGCAACCGTTTTGAAGATTCGTATGGTCGAAGTCCCAGGAACGGTGTTCTGGCAGGATCTAGGATTGTCAGGACGCAGCAGTCACGGGGATTCGCGGGGATGAAGTGCCAGGAATGGTGATCTGGAACGATCTAGAACTGTCAGGGCGCAACAATGACGTTGATCCGCGGCGTTCAAGTCCCTGGAGCTGTGCTTTGGCACGGTTGAAAATTGTCAGACGGTGGCAATCTACCGGGTCCCTCCGCAATGAATACGCATTCTTGTTGGGACCTGTTAAAAAAGGAAGCTGGAGGAAGGGTTATTGCAACATCGTTGATGCGTCTTGGGTTTACGCTGGTCCTCCTACTCCTCCTCATCCATCCTCGTCCTCCATTTTGACGTTAGGCAACTTAAATCATCTGGGATCGTAGCGTTCGTAAGTCCACTTCCCCCTCGTCCTGCTCCTCCCCCTCCTCCTCCTCCTCCTCCTCCTCCTCCTCCTCCTCCTCCTCCTCCTCCTCCTCCTCCTCCTCATCATCATCATCATCATCATCATCATCATCATCATCATCATCATCATCATCATCATCATCATCATCATCATCATTCTCCTCCTCCTAGGAAGCAACTCATGGAAGGTCTTCGTAAGAGCGATGAAGACTAAAAGCTTACAAAGAGGAACTGAACCGAATTAGGCTGGATTCAGACTCTCGAGATTAGATGATTACTTGCACCGGATTGAGCACGACCACGTCGGATTCAGCAGGACTGCGCTGGATTAGGCTGGCTTCCGACCACGGGTATACCAGCGCCGATATGATTTTTACCTCACTAACTCCTCTCCCTCCCCTAAACCTCCAACGCATTGACAAATGCAATGCGGAGGTGTTTCGTCGCGTTCGGCCCACTAGGTCCCTCACAGGCGCTGGGGCCGTGAGAAAACAACTCGCAAAGCCGTCCCTGGTCAGAGGTCTGGAACTTCTGAAGACCCAGTGTTGAAAAACAAACACAACAACGGATCTCAGTGCCCACCTTCCCCTCAACTCCCCCTCCTCCATCTCCAGACGGAGAGCGAAGAATTAATGACCCGATGAATCTTGGAGGTTATTTATCGTCTCGGAATGCTTTCAGCAGCTGCATCTCGCCAGGAGCTTTCACTGGGTGCCCAGATCGCCCCGAACGGCCGCTGGAGGCCCCAGTTCACCAACAGTTCTCACCCCACACCCTCCTCCTATCCCTCCTCTCTTTTGTCACACGCAAGACTTCAACAGTTGATGTGCGTTTACGGCTTGTTTGACAATCCGATTATCTTCGATACCTCAAATTGGTGCTCCCGCTGCAGCGAGGGCCTCATTCTCGTATCGGCGCGTTGCTCCGGTCATTCGGAATGGCGCTCTCGCCACAGCTCGGGCCACTTCTCTAAATTCGAATCTGTCTTCATAGTTGTCGTTCCCCTCATTTCCCCTCCTCTGCCTTCTCATGGTCCTCCTGTTCCTCCCGAACCTCCAATTATGATTCCTGCTGATGCTGTTCGTCCTCAACCGTTTCCTCCCGCTCATCCTCCTGCTCACCCGCCATCGCCTCCTACTCCTCCTCCTCCTGCTCCTGCTCCTGCTCCTGCTCCTCCTCCTCCTCCTCCTCCTCCTCCTCCTCCTCCTCCTCCTCCTCCTCCTCCTCCTCCTCCTATGTACGCAGCCCCGTTTGTCCGACTGCGCATAACACGAGAAGGTCTTGCTGTTGGAGGTGCAGTTCAGCTATGACATGGACAGAGAAAATTATCAACGCACCCAGCTTGCCTCCGCCCCCTCTCCCTCCCCCTTTTCCGACGATCGCAACGGGTGGCCTCGTACGCGCGTCGTCTTGGCCATCCGCTTGAGAGGAGGGGGAGGAGGTGGTCTCGTCGCCTCCTTCCCCCTCCTCCCCGCCCTGGCCTCCCCTTTTGGCGGAGTGGTCAATCAATCCCTCTCCTCCCCCTCGCTCACCTCCGCCTCCTTTGACGCGCCCGCCGTGGCCAACAACAGCCGCTGCCCACGAGCGGCGACGAGCCCCGTGGCCCAAAGGCGCTCACCATCAAACGGCCAGCGCTCGCGGCAACACAAGCAGGGAGAGCCCCTGTTGTTCACCCGCCTCATCGCGGGCGTTCAACCCATCCCTGGACACAACTCGTCCGACATCCGCCAAACCTGGCCCTTCCAAGCCCGGCCCGAGATCTAGAAAGAGAAAACTACAAACATAAACGCACGTTCCGAACTCCGCACGGATATATTGGGTCTGCGCCGGACCCCCCTCCCTGGCGCGCGCTCCGCGCGCACTGGGGCGGCGCCTCCAAGGGACGGCGCTGGAGGCGCCGCCAGGGGGGCCGATGGCCGATCCAAAAAAACCCGCGCGGATCTCCGAAAGTTTATGTCAGCGTGAGGAGGCTGAACCGAACGGTCATTCACTGTCCCTGAGTGCGTGGCTGAAGTGGACTGCTGTTGTTATTGCTCTTGTTGTTGTGGGTGTTGTTTTTGTTGTTGTTGCTGCTGTTGTTGTTGTTGTTGTTGTTGTTGTTGCTGGTCATGTTGTTGTTGGTGTTGTTGTGGTTGTTGTTGTTACTGATATTGTTATTGTTGTTGCTGGTCATGTTGTTGTTGGTGTTATTGTGGTTGTTGTTGTTACTGATATTGTTATTGTTGTTGTTGGTGGTGGTGCTGTTGCTGTTGATGTTGGTGTTGTTGTTCTTGTTTATTGTTGTCGTCGTCCCACCCGCAACCCGCCCCGCGACCCCCCCCGCGCCCCACCCCGCGACCCACCCGCGTCCCACCCCGCGACCCACCCCGCGACCCACCCGCGACCCACCCCGCGACCCAACCCCGCGACCCACCCCGCGACCCAACCCGCGACCCGCCCGCGACCCACCCCGAAACCCCCCCGGCGAACCACCCGCGACCGCACCCGCGACCCACCCGACCCATCCGCGACCCACCCCGCGACCCACCCGCGACCGACCCGCGACCCACCCACCCGCGACCCACCCGCGACGACCCACCCGCCCGCGACCCAACCCGCGCGACCCACTCCGCGACCCCCGCGACCGCCCGCGACCCACCCCGAGCCCCCGGCGACCCACCCGCGACCCCCGCGACCCACCCGCGACCCACCCGCATGCACCCCGCGACCCAACCCGCGACCCACCCGCGACCCACCCGCGACCCACTGCGACCCACCCGCGACCCACCCCGCGATCCACCCGAAATGTTCGGCGCCTGCGGCGGGTTTCTTTTGCATTCGTTCCAGATGGAGAACCTGCGACCCACCCGCGACGCAAACCGCGCCCGCGACCCACCTCGACCCACCCGCGACCTACCCGCGACCCACCCAAAATGTTCGGCACCTGCGGCGGGCTTCTTTTGAAGTCGTTCCACGTGGAGAACCTACGACACACCCGCGACTGAAACCACGTTCAGTGTACAAATCAAAATTGTTGGCGCCTGCGGCGGGCTGCTTGTTAATTCCTTCCAGGTGGAGGTGGAGGGCCCGCGACCCACCCGCGACCACCCGCGACCCACCCATCGACAGGTCCGCCGGCTCGACGCCCGCGTCGCCCGCGCCCGCCCCCTCACTCTTATGCGCAATTGCGGGGTGCTACGTTTATTATGGTGTCCCTTCGTCGGCCAACACAGTCCCGACAAGGCATTGGACCTTTGAACAAACTCTCACTGGCCGATTCGCTCTGGGACCCCTCTGAGAGAGGCAGCACGGGCGCCAGGCGCGTCGCGGACGGTCCTCGAGAGCACAGGACACTTGGATGATTTCGTGTGTTTCAACGTCAAGCTGAACCGGAGCCCCTTCTTTGATGATTCGCGACAAAGCCATTTACCAGCCCCGATCCTCTCGCCTCCCCCCTGGTCACGTTACCATTCGCGCCGGCACCATCTGGGAATGAGCCATCTCTAAGCATCCCCGCACGGCGCCAGCGTAAATCGCGACGTGACCAGCCCTTTCCCGTCACGCCTGTTCTCGCCAAAGGATTTTCTATCCAAAAAACAATATGTTCTCTTGGCCTGAGCAGTCCCACTGCGAATCTGAGGACCACAAAAAAAATGCCGATATTGCAACTCCCTGGACCTTTCCAGGAATGCGTTCTGGCCAAGATTTCGAAGCAAATCCAGCGTCGGCGACGAGGGCCTCCCAGGAGGCCCGAAAAGGAGAAAACGAGGGAAGGGTATAAAAATGTGTACTTT